CCCCAAAACCCCAAAACCCCTAAGGATTATTATTAAGAATTTAAATCAATTAGGTTTACAACAAATAAATATATCATTTCTAGATTATTTGTTATGGTCCTTCTACCTTGAATGCAATACATCTTAATCAAATTCTTAATTATTCTCACTTAAGCTTTGAATTTAATTTGTTTTATTCAATAACATCCAAACTCTTCTGAATGTTGGAAAATCTAGAAGTAATCTTTCTTTTGTTTATACTTTCACTCACTTTGATACCTCTTTTAAATAACTGACTTTCCCTTAGCTAATTAGCTAGATTAGATTCATCTTCACCGCCACCTCCAAAAGCCACCTAAAACTCTTTTTCCTTGAAATCATAAGGCCTTGCATTTTATTTCTTAAACTACTGCATCTTCAAAGGAGGAAAGGCATGTTTTAGTTTATCTGTTCTAAATAGCAAGTCTAAAATGCAATTAATCAAAATCATTTTTTGTTCTTAATTTAGAATCTTAAGGGATTTATCCAAACTCTGAAGATTAAAACCTAGTTTGAATAAATCCTAATAGAATAGCTTATCTTTAATCAATGTCTCAAACTTCTTAATAAGGTCGTCTGTTTTGAGCCCGTCCAACTCTATCCATCTTTCATTCTAAGATTTAGGAGTGAATTCATATTGACTTGAATTAGATGACTCTCTTCTTCTGTTCCTAGGAGAGTTCCGATGAAATTGACTTAGGCTCATCTTTGATTCTCTCCTAAATGTAGTGATTTTTCTTTGCAGTTTTAGCATTTACAATTCTTTTCTATCTAACAAACTGGTTTTATCTAGAACATTTGAGGATTCCAAATGTTCATGAATTTCTCTGGGTGCATCTTTCCTCTCTGGTTCATCCTCATTTGGTATTCTAAATCTGAGCTACGGCATTTCTTGTTCATATTAAAGTTCCTCGTTAATCTGCACAATTTTTTTAGGAATTTTAAAGTTTCTATTTGACATTGGCGTCTAAACCGAGGTCATTGGAAGTGGTTTCTTTCGAGGAGCTTAAGAAGAGAAGCACTAATTGATAAAGTACTGGACATTATCCAGATTAATTAAGTCATTTTCACTCTTGAATGTACTATTTTAGTACTATCTCACCTAATATGGCATTGATAGCAATTTAGATCTGTACTGCGTATCAAAAGAGCTCCTTTTGTTTGAAAATGCTGAAGATCCCAAGTCTACACTTTTTTTCTTCTGTCTTATAGCGTGAATCTAATTCTTTAATTTTTCTTGAAACAAGATTGGGTCGGTGTAATGCTCGTGGCTAGTTATCAAAAATTGATGCATTTAATTTTTCTTGAGAATAATATTTTATTTGTTTTTTAAAATGATAATTATTAATCTTTATAAAAAAGCATCATCTTAATTTAAGCTTAAGCATTTTTATCGAATTATTTAAAATATCACTTTCATGGGGTAGGTTCAACATTCACTCTTTTCTTTGTAGCATCTTTGCCACTTCCATCTAATTCTGAGTCAGCAGTTATTCCACCAGCTGATACTTTTTCACTGGCTTTCCTTTTCTTTCCAACCATTTATTAGTCACCTTCTAAGGGTATTCCTTCTTATTCTTCACCTTCCTCTTCTTCGTCCATTTCTTCTTCTCCTTCTTCTCCATCATCATCACCTTCCTCGCCATCTTCTCCTTCCTCTTCTTCATCATCTCCTTCTTCATCGTCTTCTCCCTCTTCTCCTTCTTCATCCTCATCATCCTCATCGCTCTCATCTTCACTAACTACTTCTAGTCCTTCTTTATTAAAGCCATCAAGGATCTCTAACTTCGGGAGCAATTCTCTTATTTTCTTAGTGTATTCCTCGCCTAATTCTACTACAATTGGGTTATTCGATAAATCCAAAGATTCTAATTTTTCGCATTTGGAAAGATCAGTTATCTCTTCAAATGTCTTGATCTAATTGTTTGATAATTTGAGTACTCTTAAATTTTCATATAGTTCTGGAACTAGGCGTAGCATTGAGTCTGAATAGGCACCGATTTTATTGTCACTTAATTCGAGTCTTTCTAGCTTGATGAGTTTCGGCAAATTTTACAGTGATTTAAGCTGTGTGGAGTTTAGAGAGAGGAATTACGTTTCTTTAAACCCCTCTAAAAATTGTTTATCTTCTTCGTTTATGTCGCCAATGCTCATATCATCGAGGATTAAATTTACGTATTCGGACTTCTCAACATCGTTGCCATCGTTTTTGTCTAAAATAGCCTTTTTGATTGACATCTTATGCTTCCTAGGATGTGTCTTGGTGACTTAAGGATCAGCAAAAGTGAGAACCACCGTTCATTTGAATATTTATTCCAATAATTATTAAATTATAATCAAATAAAAGAAGTACAAGAATAGCATCTTTACTATCAATCCTATAACTACTCCTACTTTTACTTTACTTTAAGCACAATAATAAAATATATATGCATCAAGCAAAAAGTTTTGAAGTACTTATCTCTTAGTTTATTTAGTCGAGAATAATTTATATAGAGTACATTGACTGATTAAAGACAGTCTTCATCACCTAAAGGGAGACCTGCCAGAAAGCAACAATCTACTCTGGAAGTAACTCAATCATTGTCTAATTCTTAATTCAACATTGCAGATTATTTAGAGGATCTTGAATAAACCTCAGAAAAATAGAACTGATGGAGATCTGGAAAAACTAGTACCGCTTATCAAATAAATCGAATTTTTCATTGAAAGAGATGTTAAAGATTCTGATTTCACCGATATTGTCTCTTGCTTAACGTATGAATTTAAACCTTCAGGCAAAGACGTTTTTGAATACGGTATTATTATTTTCCGATTATTATCTACTGCATTAGGTTCGATTGGTGAGAAATTTTACATTATACTTCAAGGGACAGTGAGTGTCATGATACCAAACCCTGACATTAAAGATTTCAAAAAGAGATATGAAGAATTCATGTATCAGAAGCAAAAGGGAACTGACAAGTCATCAGATAAATCACAGTTAGAATTACACCATAGAGATTAAAGGAAAAATACTTTGAAAATAGAGGATGAAAGCAAGATGCAGGAGATGAAATTATTACTTAAGAATAAGCAGCAAGAATGGGCAAGCACAATGAGACCCAGTGGTATCAGCAATGATTCACTCTAAAAATTTAACATACAAGAGAACTAAATTGATCTCAGCAAAAAAAGCTAAGGAACATTAGAGATTGATGGAGAGCTCAGCGAAACATATGATTAAGAAAATGAAGACTTGATAATTGATAACTAAAACTCAAAGATAGAAATTGTAATTAATAATGAAGAAAAGTAGCCAAGGAGTAGAAATAGATCATTCAAGAAGGTTAAATCAATCAAGGAAGACCTCCCTCCTTTATTTAGTGAATTTACTTAACTAAAAGCAGGAAAGTCATTCGGAGAATTAGCGCTTATTAAAAATAAGCCAAGAGCTGCTACTATAAAATGCACTGAGGACTGTCACTTCGCAGTCATGTCGAAAACCGATTATGAGAAAGTATTGCAGAAGATCGAGCTTAAGAAAATGCAGAAAATTATAGATTTTCTGCACCAACTGCCATTTTTCAAAGTATGGACGAAGACTTCATTAGGTAAACTTCATTATTCCTTCGAAGAAAGATTATTCAAGAGAAACTAAGTTGTATATAGAGAAGGAGATGCGTCAGAAATGGTTTATATCATTAAAAGCGGAGAGTTTGAGGTGACCAAGAGATTCGTCAAGCAGACAGTTAGAGAAATCGATGTGACGTCATATATAGGTCCTAAGGCAAATTAGAAAAATGAGCAGGAACTAAATCTCAATAGTGAGACCACTGAGGATGACTCTTATGATAAAGTAGTTAAAAATGGGAGAGATAAATCTCAAAAAGGCTCAAAGCATTAAGTACCTTAAATCTAGCTAGCAAGTAGACTGAGAAATACTGAGACATTCAAGATTTTGTTGCTAGGACCAGGCTAAATGTTTGGAGAGGATGATGTTGTCCACGAAAGACCATATTCGTAGACTATAATTTGCAGGTCAAATACAGGATTAACATTTGCAATGAGGGCTAACGAGTTTTTTAGAAAACTCAAGAGCAACGAAGAATGCTGGAAAATAATCCTCAATTAAGTGCTTTAGAAGGATAACTAGATGAGAAGTCGCATGCTCAAAATAGATTAAGTCTTTCATAAAGAAATCACTAATCCTATTGTGGATGGAAACAGCTCTCAATCAAGAGCTAAATAGGTATAATATCCAAATATACTCTAAAAACATAATTTGAAAGTCACCTAAAAGAGACTCGATGACTTTAGAGAAACAATTGGAGAAATAATTAAGAAACAGAAGAACGAGGGTTTAATTATAGATCCTAATGAGTAGTATGCAAGTATTTTACAAAGCTAGAGTCCAGTTAGAAAAACAGAATAAGAATTAAATGATAGCAACCAAAGTCCAAGCAGCAAGACTATAAATAAATCTACTTTCATAGCAAAGCCTAATAAAATAAGTTTGGATTAATCACCTGAAAAGTAATCTGTGATTACCATAAAAGAAACCAAGAAATCAAGAAATCAATTGACTCCAGACATAACGAGTAAATAAACTGTAACTTCTTCAAACAACTTTAAGTACATGTAATCAATCTACAATGAATTAAACACTATCAGCAATCCTATTATCTAGTAGATTAATCCAAATAGCTCTTAGTACTAAGAATCTAATATAAAGATAGAGGACTATGATTAGAGATAAGCATGGACATCCTAGAATTACCGAACTCAAATTAATAGAACTATGAGCGTTAACTCTAGGCCTATCAATGAACTTACAAGGCAAAGAATAATCATGATGAAAACTAGCCAACAGAAGTTTAGAGCAAATTAGATCAATTAAATATTAGGGAGCTCTGCAAAGCTAGGAGGAGTGGTAGGTGGTGGACTAAGCTAAATGATGAGTGGCTTGTCTCCAATGCGTTCTTAAGTTATGAACCATACTATAAACTATGAAGGTAGAAACTAGTATATGTCAGTAGCACACACTCTAAAGCCGACTAGTCAGAGTATTCTATCAAGCATTGTAGCACCTCATTTATCTAATTAAGTGCTTGCTCCTCATATAGCATAGAAAATCTATCTCAAGAACAAGCTACTATCCATTTAAAGAGGTCTAACTGGATCAAGCCTTGAAGAGAGCAAAAGTAGAAGCAGAAGTTTCATGAACAAGAGAATGAATAGATCAAGATTGCAATAAGATCGAACGAATTTGAACTAAACCATAAATGCTGGTTTTATGCCTAACGCCTATATATAGTTGAACAAAAGCAGCAGTGATGTGCATCAGGTAAGCACTGGATCTACTGGCATCCAGAAGTTTACAAATGAACAAATACAGCAGCAGCATATAGAAATGCAGAAATTAAAAGTAAATACCCCTTCTACTTTAATTATAAAGCCAATAAAGTTAGAGAAAAACTGTCTTCTCTGAGATTTTGATTTATTTATTTAATGTTGATTTAATAAATTCTTTAAGATTATCACCAAGCACCGAATTACTCTTGAAGGGGTTTTGGGGTTTTGGGGTTTTGGGG